CTACAGCACAGGAGGAAAATGAGGCATTCTGCTTCCGGAAAGATTTAGTCTCAGAAACTTCAGGAAGTAGTTTTTCTCTGCCCTCTGGGGTTACCACCGAGTCAGGACTGGCTTGATAGCAGTGAGTTTGCTTTTCGGGATAGTGTTCACCTACACAGCTCAAAGCTATACAAATGCTGAGGCTGAGCTGCTGGTCAGTTCCTGGGGAAGGAGCTTGGCAACCCCACTCTCCCTGCTGAGGATAAGCACTGGCTCTTCATCGGCTTGCTGCCGCAAAACAAATGCTGAACCAAATTCCATTGGTTTACTTTTTTCCATAAAAGCAAAAATCCGCTTCAAATTTCTTTTGGTTACTAAAAGCAGGTACTAATGTAGGTCTTTCATAAAAGCCAAGGAACATAAACCAAACTTTTGAAGAGCAGAAGATAACTAGTTATACATGATGACTAAGTGTATCGCTTTGCTTCACTAGAGGAAATGATCTTCAAGATAGAGTATGTGTATGCTCAGACACTTGGAAAGAGTTTACCAGGGGATTCTGATACCCTGTCCGCACTGAAAACTGTTGGTTGCAAACTAGTCGTTAGAAATGATAATTCCTCCTAATTTTTTCCCCCACCACTTGTCCGTCGGTTTGTTGTACTGTGGTGGCTTGAATGTTGCTGTGATGCTGGAAGCTGTATCACTAGCATTTCAAATGCTTGCAGGGTCACCCAAAATGAACAGGTGTCAGCCAAGCTTCCAGACTAAGAACAGACACTGAAGAAGGAATCGGCGGCCTACTTTGGAGGAAGGAGCCATTGAAAACACAGCTTCGAAATACTGCAGATACTGAAGACCTACTGAGTGGGAGAACATTGTCAGAGATAGTCCCGGAGCATGGGATCCTCACGTCTGAGGGTACTGGAAATGTGACGGAAGAGGAGCGGATTTCTCGGAATGGAGTTGATCAAGGTGACATCAGTTAGATAAAGCCTGTGGGAATGGAGACTTTGGGATCTTCATTTGCACTATACTCAAAGTAAGGAGAAACATGCAAAAATCTGCTAATGATCGGAACTTGGAAGGTGTGAAGTATATATCTAGGAAAATTGGAAGTGGTCAAAAATGAACGCACCAAGACCAATATCCTATTTCAGTGAGCTGAAATGGACTGGTACTGGTCACTTGGAATCAGAAACTCACATGATTTACTATGCTTGGGAATAACACAATCAAGAGGAATGGTGTGGCATTCACTGTCAAAAAGGATGTTGCAAAATCCGTCATTAAGTACAATGCTGTCTGCGATAAGATTATATCTATCTGCCTTCAAGAAAATCCAATCAGTACAGCTAGTAATCAAATTTATGACCCAACCACAAAAGTTGGTGAAAAGTAATTAAAGAACTCTACCAATAATTTCAGTCAGAAACTGATCAAACATGCAATCAAGAGACACTGATAATTATTGACAATTAGAATGCAAAAGTTGGAAACAGAAAGAGAGACTGAATTTTGTAAGACCAGCGACTTGCTCACAGCAAATACTTTTTCAACAACACAAAAGACAACTATACACATGAACTATACACATGAACTATACAAATGGAATAGACAGAAATCAAACCAACTACATCTGTGGGAAGAGACAATGGAGAAGCTCAATATCAGAAGAATGTGGCATCTGCATTGGAGGAAGGCTGCCATATGTAGATGACACAACATTGCTTGCTGAAGGCAAGGATTTGAAGCACTTGCTGATAAAGATCAAGGATGGCAGCCTTCAGTGTGGATTACAACTCAATGTAAAGACCAAAATCCTCACAACTGGATCAATAGGTAACAGCATGGTAAAGGAAGAAAATGTTGAAGTTGTCAAGGATTTTGTCTTGCTTGAATCCACAGTCAATGCTCATGAAGCAGCAGCCAAGATATACTGCATCAGGTAAATCTGCTGCACAAAACCTCTTTCAAGTACTGAAGAACAAGGATGCTACTTTGAGGACTAAGGTGCTCAAGAAGCAAACAATAGTGTTTTCAATTGCCCAATATGCATGTGAAAGTTGGACATTAAATAAAGAAGACAAAAGAATTGCTGTATTTAAACTGTGATGCTGGTGAAGAATATTGAAAGTACCATGGACTGTTAGATAAGCTCATCTGTTGTGGAAGAAGTATAGCCAGAGCCAGAATGCTCCTTAGAGGCAAGAATGGTGAGACTTCATCTTACATACTTTGGAACTGTCATCAGGAGACCAGTGCCTGCAGGAGGATCTCATGCTTGGTAGAGGGGCAGCAAAATGAGAGAAAGGTCCTCAAGGACATGGATTAACTCTGTGGCTCCAACGATGGGCTCAGGCACAGGAACAGCTGTGATACTGATGGCCGGACCAGGCAGGGTTCCACTCGTTGTGCATAAGGTGGCTACGGGTTGGAACCAACTAAACAGCACCTAACAGCAACATTTTTTTTACCCTAACAGAGCAGAAACTCAAAACTCGGAATGGAGAGCCTTAAGAGCACCTTGAATTAGCTCTCTTTCTTTGCTCTTCTTCAATGCATAATAGCAACTCTTAGCACAAGTTTTACACACACACACACACACACACACAACTACATTTCAAAATGGGAATGAATTGAATCTATGGAGCATTTTCAGGAGCAATGACATCTTTCTAATAAACTTACTGATGAGGAAAGATATAGTTATTGAGGCAATAGCAGACCTAAAATTGAGAGCAAAAAGATTTCTAAACTCAGCTAGGCTACCAGTTGGCTTCTTATAAACGGAATAATATAACTGTCCTTTGTCCACATTCCCCAAGCTGTAAAAAGAATAAAAAACTCATTGTCATTGATAGCAACCCTTTAAGACAGAGTAAGAATGCCCTGCACACGAGTATCTGAGACTAACCCTTTATAGGAGAAAGCCTCGTCTTTCTCCCACAAAGCAGTTGATGGTTTTGAACTGCTGATCTTGCAGTTAGCAGCCCAATGTGTAACAACTATGCCACACACAGGACTCCTGTAAAATGAATAGTAAAGAATAAAAGTACCTGCTGGTAGTGCTAAGAGATCAACTGTTAGATTATATTGCTTAAGGCAGAACACAGTTGATAAATATTCCTTTATCTAACTGCTCTAACACCAGTTATCAGACAATACATTTCAGTATTTTTAAATAAGATGTAACCTTTTTTATTTTTTTTTGACAGTCAAGGTTTCTCTTGTCCCCTTAAAAATGTTCTGAGAATATGAACTGTTTTCTAATTTTTCCACCCCAGACTCACCACTGAACACTTTCTTTGTTTCTTTGTGCAGGTTAGACACAGCAATTCTTGCTGCCAGAATGGCATAGTCAGGGTGTTTAGTAGTCAAGGTCGCAGCAGTTTCAGCAGCCAAAGTGTCTAGTTCCACCGTGGTGACCCCACTATATAAGCCTTGGATTACTTTCATGGTGATCTGAGCCTACAAATACAACACCAGGAGTTACTTGTGCTTTCCCAATAATAAAATTCCTTGAAAAAGCAATTAGGAAAACAACCATACTGATGAAATAAAACAGCCAACTACCTTTTCAGAAAAATTAGTTTTCAGAAAGGTGAGCTGTGGAAAACACAGTAATGAGAATTCGTAGACCAACACAACTGCCAGAAAATACATACTACACATACAGCGAAAAGGTGACACTTAAGGAAAAATGGTAATAGACTTTAAGATAAAAACTTAAGTCTCACAGAGAAATAGCTGGAGAGAGACCAAAGAACATTTCCTCACCTTTCATTCAAGGTTTTCCTATGTGATCAGGGCTCGAGCTACATCCTTACCCGTATAAGAGCAAGTACAGAAGGCAAGGATGGGAGAGTGGGGGAGGAAGGGAAAAAAGGAGCTGATAACCAAGGGCTCAAGTAGAAAGAAAATGTTAGGAAAAAGATGATGACAACATATGTACAGAAGTGTTTGACGCGATGGATATATGTATCGATTGTTATAAGAGCTGTAAGAGACCCCAAAATAAAATGATTAGAAAAAAGAAAAGCAAATTAGTCAAATCTGAACCATTCCAATCAAAGGAGATGAAGGTCTGCAGCGCTATCAGTGGCTACCCGAGGTTCCACTGATAAGAGAACATGGGGAGTCACTGCTTAAGGGCCACCGAGTTTCTATTAATGATTGTGGAAACAGGTAACATGTTCAGCAAGATGAACATAATCAGTGTCACCGAATTGAAATGCACCTGTGAAAACTGTTAGCATGGCAAAGATTTTGCTATTTGTATTTTTACCACATTTTAAAAACGAAAGATGGAGATCTGAGGCTGTGTCATTTGAGAACATGCAGCAAGATGTACCCAATCCAACAGCTTCTCGACGTAAAATTCAGTGACGCTGATTATACTCAAGTTGTGCAACCATTCTCTCTCCTTCGCTGAGTTGTTCCGCACGAACTCACTGCCCCATGAAGGTCATATCTAATCTTTCTAGTTGCTGTTGTCAATTTGATCCCATATACAGTAGGTAGTTTTTTAAAAGAAGCTAATGGTCAAGGCATTCTTTACTAGTAAAGCTAAACTATTGTTTGAAGACCTCAGGGGCTATTTTTGGTTCAAGGCTTAAAGATTATCTCTGGGCAATGGTTTTAGGGGTTTATCAAATAAAGTTTAATGACTACGCTTTCCTTAGCACTTCATAAATGACAAAGTGGCAACTCTCATAATCTTCTGATATTTCACAATCACCTTTCTGAGATAGTATTATGACTATCACCATTTTACATAAGGAACCCGAGGTTCAAGTTACTGACACTTGTCCAAGGTTATATTACCATTCAGATCTTCCATTCGACCTCATAGCATTACACCGTTCTCAAGATTGTGAGGTTCCACTTTTAAAACACAGTGCACAAGTGAACACCACATACGAGGGAGTAACCCCCCAAAAAACAAAACAGAATCCCCCCGCAAAGCTACGTATTAAAATTTTTTTTACAAAACGACAATATCACCTTCAAAGTATTCTACTCTCCATTACACTTAATACATTTGTCAAATTTGTGGTTCTATTCTTGGAAACATTTTTCAAACTCATCTGTTTGGATGGCTGACAGAACCTCCCTTGTATTTTTCTTCACCTCTTCTGCATCATCAAATAGCTGTCCCTTCATGTCCCTCTTCATTCACAAAAACAAAAAGAAGTCGCACGGAGCGAGGTCAGGTGAGTCAGGTGCGTGGGGCAAGAGAAGTATGCTGGGGGTTTTGGCCAAAAACTGGTACACTGAGATGGCTTTGTGAGTAGGTACATTGTCGTGGTGGCAAAACCAGTTCTACGTCTGCCACAAATCAGGCCTTTTATGTCACACTGTTATGCAATCTTTTCAGAACCTCTAAATAAAAAGTTTCATTAAGTCTGACCCAGTGGAACAAACTCCAAATGCATTATCCCCCCTCACATCAAAATGAAAATGAGCATCATCTTGATCTTAAATTTCACTTGAGCTTTTTTGGGGGCGAGGTGATGATGGCGTCTTCCACTGGCTTGATTGTTGTCTGGTCTCAGGGTAATAAGAACAGCATCATGTCTCATCACCAGTAATGACGTTGGAAAGAAAGTCTGGGTCGCTTCGCGCTGTTCTTTCAAAGCACAGCATGTTTCTACTCGATGCTCTTTTTCCAGGTCAGTCAGAACCTGAGGCACAAATTTCACAGCAAAATTTCCCCAAATCTTCCATTAAAATTCGCTGAACCGAGCTCCAAGATAGTCCAGTCCGTCATCAGTCTTCAAGCACAAGTGCATGAATTTTGTTTGATATTTTCGTCCATCCAGGAAGTTGATGGACATCCAGAACGAGGTTTGTCATCAATCAACATTTTACCTTTTTTGAAAGGAATAAAACCACTCATACACTTGAGTTTTTCCCATAGTGCTGGCTTTATAAGCTGTGTTCAACATCACAATAGTTCCTGCGGCATTGTTCCCAAGCAGGAAACAAAATTTCACAGCCCCAAACTGTTCTCTTAAACAGCCATCACAAGAAACAAGGTTTGAGCGAAAGTGCTTTTATGAAAAAATTCACTGTGACCACAGAGAACCTTCTCAGGCAACGCCACTGGTGCACAAACTCAGAGCAAGCTGCTCGATGCTCGCCCAACGGGAAAAATGCGTAATATGAAAGCTCCACCCAGCAGAAGTCTTTTCTGTGTGTTTTTTGGTGGGAGAGAGGTACCCCCTCGTATGATTAAGAGAAACAAATCCTAAGAAGTATGTCTGTGTACAAGGATTCCTAGTTATGTAGTGAGTTCAACATTGGGCTGCTAACCAAGTCAGTCATTTGAACCCATTCAGCTACTGAGAGGGAGAAAGAGGCACTCTGCTTCTGGGAAGCTTTCCTGTGTCCGAGACCCAATGGAGCAGTTCTACTCTGCCCTACAGGATTGCCAGAACCACCTCAATGGCCATGCGTTTGAGTTTGTTTATTTGGAAGGCGTAGTGTATAGGCAGTCCCCAGATTATGAATGAATTCCGTTCCTAAACTGGACATAAGTCTAAGTTTACACATAAGTCAGAATAGTTAGGTGTAGTTTGCAATGTAACAGCAGTTAAATGTCTGTCTGATAGTAGTAGATAGTATACCTTTCTATACATAAAAAAAGAAGAAAGCAACACCAGATACGATAAAACATTTTTAACACAATGAAGTAAGAATAATGTTTTGACGCACATCACAAAATAGCGACAGTTTATTTGTTACTAACCATTGTATGTACCTCCAATTTTTCTTTTAAAGGAGCTTCAAAACGTTCATGAAAAGTTTCCATTACTTTTTAACTTATTTTTACACAAATTTTTAAGCCCCTTTGAGTATGTGTTCACACCCACACACAAAGTAAGAGATAAACGAAGGGCCAGCTCAAAGTGAGAGAAATAGGAAGGATCACATGAAGCAAAGAACTCAAGACATACACCCTATTTACTTACAGGATCAACAAAGTCCATATTGAGTCCATAGCAAAGCTTCTGGATTCGCGATGTGATTTTGTCAAACATGACCCGCTCTTGGCGACCATCTGGAGAATCAAATCATACAATTGACGTCAGAACTACAATTAAGATGACAATGTCAAAAAAAATCAAAATGTAATCAGTGTCTGAAATTTTTAGATTGACCAACAGGAAATGTTATTTCATAGATGAAAGATTCAAACTCCCAATGGATTCGGCAAAAGTTCTTTTTGGCTTACCTAATGCCATCTTCAAAAATTAGGGATTTTAGCCATCTAAGGAAAGAACAGTGAGGAACACTGAACATGCATAAAAACAATTAGTCCAATAGATGAATGGATTTAAGGAACTATGGCCTCCAGGAACCACCACCAAGTGGTCTGAAAAGGAATCACATTAGAAGGCCCTAGGAGACAGAGTGAGGGAAACAAAATACGGAACGAAACTCAAAATCTTAAGACCAGGCTTACTGGTTTAACAGACTAGTGAAACCTTACCCACCCTTAGGTCTCGAACAAACTTACCCCCTTTGCTCAGTTTTCAGCCAAACAATAGACAGGCTTATCAAAGGTGTAGTAGTTACATAATCTGGTGTCAATTTAGGACTTCAGAGGATTAACAGTGAGTCTAGTCTTTCAATCGGCTCATAGCCAATGAGGCCTGTGTGGGCATGGCCTTCTTCTGAGAATTCATGTATTTCTTCCTTGGAGGCAGGAGACAGACTCTCTCTCGCTCTCTCTGCTCACTCCCTTGGAGGTGCTCTAGATACTCTACTGACCAGACACATGGCATTACTCTGGGAGCTGGAGAAGCCACATGGACCTACCCTGATGCAACCAGACCCCTGGGAATTGGAGAAACCACGTAGAGTTCCCTGCCAGCGCTGAATGAATGCTTACACCACTAGATCCAAAGATTTTCTACCCACTGACCTGCGATCATCCTACATTCAGCGTCACAGAATGTTTCGTGAGTCTGAAGAGGACTTTATAGATTGGTATCGAACATATGGGCTAATATCAGACTTATGGGCTTGGACTGGACTGGGTTGGGATGCTTTCTTAATGTTCAATTACCCGTTTATATAAAACTCTCTCTTATACACATATGTGTGTTTATGAATTTGTTTCTCTAGTCTATCCAGACTAACACAAAAGGGAACAATAGCACTAGGGAGGCACACACTCCTTAGAATAATCCATCATTTGAGATCAAAAGGGAAGAGTTCAGAAGGGTTCAAAATGGAGGAATACCAATGAGAAGCAGAGGGAGAATGTTGTATGCTACACTGTGAGGACTGGTATCAACAACAAGAAACAAAATTTGTAGGAATGGTTGCATAGAAAATGGATTTGCTCTGTAAACCTTCACCCAATTCACAATGAAAAGTTAAAAAAAAAAAGGAAAGAAAATTAGGGGTTCCATATTCAAATTTTCCCCCTCCCCTATATAATAAATCAGATGGATTCTTACAATAACTTCCCAAATGATCTCTTTTCCCCCTTGTCCCACACAACTGCCAGGGCTATCCTTTAAAACAAGCTCAAAGCCATTCCATCACCACCACCCCAAAAGCCCTAATAGTGGCTTCCTATTTCCTTCACAGTAAAAGTCAAAATTTTTACAATAGTCCACAGACTCCTGCACAATCTGCTATCTACTCTCTCTGCCTCCTCACCCCAGTTTTACCTTCTACTCTCCCTGCCTCCTCACTTACTCTACCCTAGCCTCCGTACTATCTTTAGGTCTTTATTCAATATCCTTTCTCAACAAGGCCTTTCTTGATCACCTTATTTTAAACTGTTGTACCTCAAACATAAATCTCCTTTTATCAGTTTCAATGCTTTTAGTCACCATCTTTAGCTTATTTATTTATTGTGTGGCTCTTCTTCCATCCACTGAAATATAACTTCCGAAAAAGATTTTTGAATGCTTTTTACTTACCAATGTATTCCCAAATGCCTAGCACACAGTACGTAATACCTGCTGCTATGGAGTTGACTTATACTGACCCTAAAAGACAAAGGGCAGAACTGTCCCACAGAGCTCCCCAAAGTAGACTCCCACATCTTTCCCTCAGAACAGCTGGTGGACTCAAACTGCCAGCTGAACACTTAATTTAAAAAAAAAAAAGTTTTCACACTAAAAGAAACAAACTTTGATGGCTACCAGGGGTGGGAGCAAGGGAGGGGAGGGCAGGAAAAGACACAGACTAGAGGGTAAACAGGTGTTATTTGGGTGAAGGAGAAGTAATATCCAAGAGAGTGACAGATGTTCTGGAAGCAAGGCAGATGAAGGAGGCTTGATAAGTTTTTTTTTTCCTCTGACAATCATTGATCATTTGTTTAATGTATAACTGATTATCTACTCTGTATTCCTTCAGCTAATTCGCAGTAAAAAGTTTGAGGGGGCAGGGAGTGGAGGGGGGGTGTCATTCTTAATTTGGCCCACCTCACCTGCAAAATATCCTAAGTTCTCATAGCAAACAGCTACCACCATTGAGTTGATTCTGACTCATGACCCCAAATTGGGTTTCTGAGACTACCAATCTTTATGCAAGCCGGTGGTCCCTTCTTTCTCTCCTGTAGAGTGGTTGATGAGTTTAAACCACCAACTTCTCAGTTAACATCTAACCCACTGAGCCCCAGGGCTGCTAACAGAGCGTTCCAATTCCTGAGCTGAGCTTACATCTTACTCTGCCTTTTCATATATCTAAATTCTACTCACCCTCCACATCTCACCACCTCCATGAAGCCACCCTAAACCACTTTAACTAAGTGACATCTTCCTTCTCTGAAATCCTCTAGAACACTAATTGACTCCTCCTTGGTTATAAAAAGCTACCTTAATTCTTTTCAGGAAATCTTAAGTCTCTAAGACCAAGGAAGAGCTTCTTATGGTTGGCCCATAAGTGTTATTTGGGGTTCAGCCCAAACGTCAGTACCTTGGAGGAACCACGAGACTGCCCAATCAAATATTATCCCTCAGTCATTCTTTATCACATCTTGTTTACAATACCTTCATTCTGCTTATCACTATCTCAAATCTCCTTACTCTTATAGCAGTGCTGTAGATGACTGGTTTTAAGGAGCCCTGGTGGCACAGTGGTTACGAGTTGGGCTGCAATCAAGATCAGCAGTTCAAAACTACCAGCTTGCTTTTTAGGAGAAAGACGAGGCTTTCTACTCACTACGAGTTACAGTCTCAGAAACTCAGGCAATTCTACCCTGTCCTATAGGGTCACTATAAGTAAGTAAGCCATAGTTTTTGTAACTTCCACCAAATGACTGTGAAAATGAGGTGTTTATGGCCTGACAGAGGGGTTGGATAGCTTGCTAAGAATGTAAATAAGGTGCATGGCACCCTTGTGAGAATGGGACCATGCAAATACGGTAGAGAACCCAAACATAACTATGTCAGTTTTGCAATCCCAATAAGCCTTAAAATGAAACTTCTAAGAGACAGTAAGAAGGATCTTCGATCACTAAGACAAAAGAGCCAGGAGTAGAGGATCCTTTGGATTCAGGTTTCCTCTACCTGGAGCCTCCAGAAAGAATTTTTTTAAAAAGTTATAATACCTTTAGAAAAACAGTAGCAGCAAAATCAGACCAACATAAGATAGCTAGGTGGGTTTCCAGACCAAGAGTGAGAAAACTAAGCACCTTTAGTTGGAGGTTTGTTGGTGGCTTGAGATGCCTTTGGGCACTCATTGGCAAATTTAAGAGAGCATTATACTGTTTTCCTAAACAGGGTAGAGTAGAAGCCAAGCTGAGGAGCAGAGACTTGCCTTTGGGCAGAGCTGAGAGGAAGCTATCCTGGTTTCTGATCCTGAACTGACCCTATCACTTACCTAATAAACCCCATAATTGTATTGTCTGTGTGTTCTGTGTGGTCCTTGCAACAAATTATCAAACTCAGCAAGGAGTGCCATGGAAGGGACAGGACAGCTGGGTGTCAGAATTGATAAAAAGGTTGGAGGGTGGTAGCCTATCTGTTCTCCCAACTCACAGGACTAAACTTTGGGCTATTCTTCTTGATCCTTCTCCTCTGCCTTGTGAAGTTAGAGGAGGTCAGACACCATCCTCACGCCATTTTTACACGTTTGTTTCTTGTGTCTACTTACCACTCCCACCTATACCCCAAAGTCAATTCCTTGAGAAAAATCAATCTAGTCTGCTTTGTTCATTGCTAAATTCCTAGCACCGACGAATTTCTCATACGATTTGGTGCTAAATAAATATTCTCTGAACAATAGTTAAATGACTAGGCTCCTGAAGGCTGTACTTTAAAACTTACCAGAGTATTTATCACATTATTTTACAATTACTTTTTTTGTTTCATTCCCAATTGAAGACCCTCGAACATAGAAACCATGCCTGCCTACTCACTCCTGTGACACAGTGCCCAGCACAGAATCCAGCACACACCAAGTTTAAAATAATATAAATGGCTGGAAATAGAATTAGGAAGGGTATAAGAAAGCAGGGAAAAGGAGGGAGAGAATATAAAGAGCCTAGCTGAGTTTATCAGAGAGATCATCAGAGCATAAACAAAAGTTCAAAAAACCAACTCACCATCATCAAGCCATTTCAACTCACAATGAGCCCTATAGGGCAGGGCCGAACTATAACAGCCTCATTCTTCTCCCATGGAGCAGGTGGTGGTTTCAAACTGCTGACCTTGTGGCCAACTTATAGCCCACTATGCTACCAGGTCCCTTCAACAAGTTTTAGAAGTTATTTATTTCATAAGCTTTTGTTTCAGCTTTGTTTCAGTCATGAATGTAGAAATGTATTTACAGAGGAATACAATCCAAAGTGTTGAAAGTACTATGCTAAATTCCAAAGCACTTAGCATTTTGTCATTAACTGTTAATAGTCCTCAACTTTTATTTTTTTAACCTTAGTCTCCTTGAAGGGCATGGTGTCCTCTCATTAGGAAAAGACGCTCAAAAGGCAGAAATGAAGAATCCATGCCTTTGGGGGGTGGGGGGGAGAAAGAAAAATCCCCGTTATTCCCTTCTTTGATGTAACCATTTTCAGGTGAATTTTCTACACTCAACTGTAAATCCTCCCTCTATCAGTTGCTTCCTTAATTCCTAGTGAGAGTTCTATGCTAAGTGAGGTAGAAATGACCCTGTCTGAAATGTTCAAAACCTGATGGACAAAGAGAAGCATCCAGTTTGCCATCCAGCGTCTACTGAGGGCACTGGTGGTGCTGCAGCTTAAGAGTGAACCGCTTAAACTCAAGGTCGGCGATCCAAACCCACCAGCCATGCCGTGGGAGGCTCAATTTACCGGCGGTGACTGGTTGTTTTTTTTTATTTTTACAACAGTTAATGAAAAAGTTGTTGGTTTGAACCCACCCAGCAGCTCTGCGGGGCGAGAAAGGCCTGGCAGTTATGGTCTAGCACACTACGGGCCTACGGGATCACAGTGAATTCCGTAGGAGTTGAAAATTAACTCGAGGGCACCTAACAACAATTTTGAAATAATCGCTTTAATAGAGGTGAGCAGATTCGACCGAGGACTTGTTGAAACCTGTGTCAGAGGGTTCGGCCACGGCCCGTGGGGTGGTTTTCGGGGAGCCCGTGCTGTCTCACCGGCCTCATTCTTTTCTCCAGGCCGGAAGCGCCGGACGAACCCACCCCAGGTTTTCAAACAACGCTCCATTGTCAACCGTGGCCTCGAGCCCTGGCCTCGCTGTCAACCAACGAGGCGACCTTGGGCCGGTCCCCCGAGCTCTCTCGGCGGTTCAGTTTCTTGGCCGGTAAAGGGGGGCTACTATTCCCTGCCCTGGAGGCTCTTGGGAAGCCAACGGAGGCCTGGAAACCCGGGGCGACTCGGCAAAGGGCAGGCGTTCTTTCTGGAAATGCGACAGGATGGCCAAAGTCCCGGGACACTGACTGAACGTAGAAAGTAGACGTGGCGGGAAGCGCAGCGGCTGGAAGCGCGGGAAGCGGCGCGGGCGGGAGGCCAAGGTTAACCGTGTCCCTGCACCCCACCTCCCCCACCCGCCCGCCTTTTCTCCTTTCCGCACCCAGCCTGCCGTCCCCTCCCCGGGCCCTCACCTCGCTTGATCACATGCATCGCGGCTGGTGGCTCAAGTGCAGAGGGACTCCGCTCCCGCCTGCCGCTGAGGTGACACCACAAACGTGGTCGAATGTAAAAGCCGCGCTCCGGGCGCTTGTGGAACGGAGATCCAGCCGGACGGGGACCGGACGTAGACAGCCAGCTCCCGCCACGCCAGAGCCGAGCGGCCGCGGTCTAAATCCTCTTCCCGCTCCCGCCACCCGTGACGCAAAACCAGCGCGACGGAGTCGGACGACGTGACTCCACGCTGCCAGCCCCTGGGGCCGTCCGGCCCGCCTTTCCCTTAGTGGCGGCCATCTTGAGTACGGGCAGCGTCTCCG